AAAACTGACTAAAAATTCAGTATCTCAGCAACAAAGCACCATGGGGATGAACCAGCTTAGGGTATTTCACTACTCACTGAGATCTACAAGATACAAGTAGTCCGAGTTCAAAAGCGATTTATAACCTCAAGAGGTTCCCTCGTGAGACGTCTGCTCTTTAAAAAAAAATTAGTTCTAAACTGAAATAAAAGTTTAATATACTAATGAAATTTAAAGAACATGGATGAAATTTCTTTTCTAACGAAACATTTATCTTTGGCTGTAAGCTGGAGTATATGAATGTTTTTTTTGGAATTTCGATTAACATAGACCGTTTGTTAATATTCGAAGTTTGATGCTTTAACACAACTCGTTCCGAACCTTTTGTTTTAATCTTGTTTATTGATGTACGAGAAAATCCAAAAAATACAAGCCACAAAAGCGGCTCGAGGATCCATATATATGTGGTCACCGTGAGAAAAAGAAAACAATCACTTGACTGTTACAGATTTGCTAACCCGTACTAAATAGTACAAGAGAAAAAATGAGAGAAGAAGCGAGAAAAAGAACCTTTTTAAGAGGTTGTGTCCTCCAGGAGGGTGATCAAATTTATCTTAAAAATAGCGGGTTTTTGGTATAAAACTGTTACTCCCTCTTCTTCGAATAGACTGAGAGAGTTCTACAAAAACATACTCTCTAGTTTGGTTTGTTCTATCTATGTTAAAAATATTGACTTCATCGGATGAGTCGATCTAATTGAAATGGGGTAGAAAGCTATTTCATCACAATCAAAACTTTTTGATTTTTCAGACAAGTATACTATATACAAGCGTTCGAATTTTGTCAGGATAAATATCCGATAATTTTTCTTCCTACAATCGTGAGTGTCAACATCTGTCAAGCTGAAAATACATTTTCTATTCAATTTTATCTAGTATTTAAATCAACTCCGTAGAAAGGATGAGTAAATATCAAGTTAAAGGTGTTAGTATCACCGGCGTTACGGTAGACTACATATCAACATTTTGTTCAAAACATGCATTTCTAATAAAAATTCATAATTCAAATTTTCTGAAAACCAAAATAAATTCAGAAAGAACAGCTCACAATGCATTATCTGGCTAATTTTCGAAGCGTCTAAACTAACTCTCGACAGCAAATTTTTTTTGTTATTGAATTATTGAGCTGTCCTATTTTATCAGAACTCTCGCTCGTAGAGAATGATAGACTCGATATATGGACGTGTTAAACTCGAAATATTTTTCCTTTTCTCTCCTTATCTTTAAAATAGCAACAACATTCATTACATTGTTAGTTGTTCACGTTAGCTTTATTACTCTGTGTATTCAAAGTGTTCAAGTAAATGACATGAAAAACCAGATGTAATAATGATGAATAAGATTATTCTTATTTCTGTTTTAGAAGTTCTCTTCGTCAACGTAGTTTCGATTCATCTCAATTGTTGTCCCATGGAGTCGATGATTCTGAAGATGTTCAAAAACCACACGAAAAAGTTTTTTGTTCATCGTGGGTTTACGATTACGAGAAATATGGTGTAACATTATCAACGGAATTAAATTTAGTTTGTTCAAAAGTTCATATACGAGCTTTAACTCAGACATGTTATTCTGGTGGTACAACTTGTTCAATTATCACCGGTCTCATGTCGGATAAATGGGGTCGTCGTAAAACAATTTATATTCTTATTCTGTTGTTAGTATTTATTCTGAATACTCAACAAATTCTAATGCACTCAACTTTACCTGATTATCATAAAATAATTATATTTTGTGTATGCCGATTTATTCAAGGTTTTTCTCAAACATTTTACTCTGTGACTGTTGTATTATTGTCAGAAATAACAGGTCCAAAACGACGAGTTTTAGCTGTGAATACAATATCGTATTTTTTTGCATTGGGACAATTACTAGTAGCAGGCATTACATATTATTTTAAAGATTGGAAACTTACGTATTGGGCATTGACCGTGTAAGTTCTAGAATAACGATGATCGGTTGGAACTTCAGGTATAACAGTATAAATAAAGTCATCAAGGATTGTTTGGCTTTAAAAGTGTAGACTGAGTCAAATTTTTCAGACTTATCAAAAATCCATTATCCAATTTTCTAGCCTGAACATTATTGGTTTTTTCATCTATTTTTCAGTTATGTACTGCCATTTGTAACTTATTATTACTTAATTCCTGAATCACCTCGTTGGTTACTTCAACAAAATCAATTGAGAAAATGTCGTAAAATTTTACAACGAATATTTTATGTTAATCGTCGTCCAATAAGAAATCGTTCAGAAATATTTTATAATAATTTACCAATGGAGGCAATGAAAGCGAAGCAATCAAAACAAAATCCCGGTTATATTCGAGTATTGAAACGACTAATCAAATCAAAAAAAATGAGGAAGAGATGTTGCCTATTAATTTATATTTGGACAGTAGCCATTTGTGTTTATCTAGGTCTGTTCGTTTTGTTTGTACCATCGAAATTTCTGTATTTTTGATTCCTATTAGTTGTTATTTTATTTTTCTTCTAGGTGTTACTGGTGATATTCCTGGTCTGACAGATAAACCGCATATTTTGTTTGCTATTGGTGCGGCATGCGAAATTGTTGGTTTAATTTTTTGCCATTTATTATCGAATCGTTTTGGACGTCGTCGTTTATTAATATTCTTTTTCATCGTTACGGGTGCAGCAGTCGGTTTGATACCAATAACATACATTCAACAAAAACAACTTGGCATTGTGTTTGCTCTACTATCAAAATTGGCTATATCCTGTTCACAATTGTTAATATACGTTTATACAACAGAAACTTATCCGACCGCTCTCCGTTCAACGGGTGTAGGTTTATCAGCGTCATGTGCAAGATTAGGCGAGTTCTAAAAGCGTTCATTAATGATCACTTTTATTATATTAGTGTTCGTCTGTTTTAGGTTCATTGTGGATTCCTCAGGTTAGTTCAACTCAACAATCGATATGGTTTCCATTGCCTTACATCGTCTACTCATTGACATCGTTTATTGCTGCTCTGTGTGCTACGCAGTTACCAGAATCAAATTCAAATAGAAAATTACCCGAAACAATTAAGGAGATTGAAAAGCAACACAAGCAAATATCAACAAATGTCGAAACATCACCGTTGCCGCATTTATATAATAGACGACCATCCTCATTACTTGTTCGACAATTGAGTGTTCCGTCAACAGTGCAGTTCAGTAAGAATACATTTTATTCAGGTTTTTTTCTGGTAAAAATATATAATTAATCATTTTAGATTATTCTACACCGACGCAAGTTAATCGTCGCTATACAACTGGTAGGCTTGTGAATTACTTTCAGCGAAAACGTATATCTAAAACTGAAGATAACAAAAACAAGAGCAATGAGCCTCCAGCAGTTCCAGTTGTTGGAGTTTCTCAAACTCGCCGTACTAGTCTCGGTACAACGTTGAACACTTTGCAACCCCCTACAGCTAATCGAGAAAGCTTTTTCGGCGCATTAGCAACAATTCGAGACATTAACGAGGAAGACGACGACGATGAACAAGAGTCCACTCCACCAACACCGACGAAAGTCGTTTATACGTTAGGTAGTGGTGAGTTAGAAGAAACAACAACAGAAGATACGTCTAATTCAGAATCTGAGGATACAGATAAAGATAGTAAACTATCAAAAATGTTATCGAGCCGTTCATCATCGATTCTCAGTAAAATTGGCTCCTTTGGACAATTATTAAAACGACGTAATAGTTCAATGTCCGGAATTTTTTTCAATGCTGAACCAGCACAACCATCGCCAAAAGTTTCCGATCACGAACAAGAACATGAAGAAGTTGAAGAAAAAGTAATAGTATCTGAACAATAAATGTGTTCGAAGTTGTGTGCTTCTTAAAAAAATTATAGTTCTCTTTGTGGAATTTTTCTATAGGTGAATGATTTTTTTAAATATTTATTTTTGAAAAATATATTTTATATTTTTTCTCGTAGAAAGGTGCGCTTTTGTATTAATAATACTCAGATTTTTATTTAATTGTTATTTATTTTTCGTTAAAATTTACACTGGAATGTCCGTAAGCATTATAGAAAATTCAAAACAGAAAAGAAAAAATATATATCTACTTGTGCGTGTTTATTTTGTACTGCATGAATACCTTGTTCAATTTCAGTCCACAGTTTAAGACATGTTTTTGTAAGTAAAAACTAGTTTTGAAAAAATTTCAAAGGTCGGTTTTCATCGGATCTTTTTAAAACCAGCTCGGTTTTCTAGAAATTAAAGTAGTAATCTATTGATCATTTTACATAGGTAAATAGTCCGAAGTGTCTTCTACAAAGTGAGATCTAAGCGACCTTTTACTTTTGCTTGGTTTTTCAGGGAGCAGGATTTTTCCCGAACCAACAGAATTAGACTTTCTTCTGTCTGACAATCTCCAAAACAGAGGATACATAGATAATTAATGCTCCTGATTAACGTGACAATATTTATTTCCTTACGAAAAGTAAAATAACACTAGCTGATGAGCTTCTTTAAAACCCAGTTTTTCGCTTAGAACCACAATAAATTAAAACCTTCGCAAAACCATTAATTTTCATTCAAATCCCTTCCAGTTTTGAGCAGAGGTCAATTCTGAACTCAGCTGAAAGCTGCAATGTTTAAAATCCCGAAGTTTGCAGCTTTCCGTAAACAGGTAGTCCAGAAGATTTCTAGAGATCCTTTCTTCCAAAAGGCGTTTCAAACTAACCCTTACAGGCTAAGTTAGATGAAACATACTATATTGAAATATGT